TGTTTAGATTGTCAAAAAGCCTGTGTTTTTAGGGTTATTAACAAAGTTAGTGTACTCAGACCAGTAATATTTGGGGTCACAAGTTTTTGCCATGAATAGTTTGTGGGTCAGAAGATAAAAAGTTTGGGAACCACTGCTGGAATCATGGCTGCAGATAAAACAGAAGCAGATTCTTGCTTTGTTTTGGCATGAACATATAATACTGTGTCATCAGTATATAATTGTACTTTTCGATCTGAACAAACATTTGGCAGGTCATTAATGTAAAGACTAAATAGGATCGGATCCAAAATGGAGCCTTGTGGCAGCCCAGCAGAACATTTAAGATATGAAGAGTTTGATCATCCATTGTGTACAGCTTGAATTCTATTTGACAAATACGATTTGATCCAAGAGAGAGCAGCATTTGAAAAATTAAAATAAGAGAGTTTTGCAAGAAATAGTTCATTTGGCTGTGGATTTATGCTAACATTTACCATAAAGTACATTTTCTTTCTTCTTTGACTTTATCTACCTAAACAAACAATACTGTTTGGTATAAAATGGATAAAACAGTTTATTGCAGCCATTTTAGTTACACAACCTCATTAATGCTTTTGTAAATGGGTTTTGTATTTTTTGTACTTTTTGAAACAATCCGTGCCATTTTAAGAATTGTTGTTTTCTCTCCTCTCCTCAGGCCGTACGTGTCCCTGGCCTCTTCCCCTCAGTGAAACCTCCGAAGTTCGCCTCCTCTCTCCTTCTCCCACCTTTTCTGCCCTGCTGGAGGTTCGCTGCAGGCCGGGCTTCACATCGCCCAGCAGCGGCTCAGATGTCACTGTTCGCCGTTGTCAGGGTGACCGGCAGTGGAGCGGGGATGAGCTCATCTGCACAGGTGGGTCAGAGCCTTCTGTCTGGGTCTATGATGGAAAACTTCATACAGAGCAGATGGAGAACAGCAGAGGGAAGCACACTGGCACCGGTACTCCAGATTTTCTGATTCTGTGTTTAAAGTAAACACATCTAACCGTGGTGGAGGAACGAGCTCGGTGCGTTTAAACAAGTCAGACACGCAGGAATGAAACCCCTCTGTGGCTCCGTCGACTCAGACATTGCACAACTGTGACCTATTCTCCCCGTCGCCATGGCAACCTCACCGTTCAGAGTGGCTGTCTGAGGGTTTTGCTGCTGAGCTTGTTGACGAGTTCAGCAAAGCGTTTGAAGCTCATGAGTCATACGTCTGCATGCATGTGAACTAAATGTTTTTTATTTGTTTGTTTTTCAGAGATTGTTTGTTTGTTTGTTTCAGGTTTATGATTTGTTGGACAAAATATTAAAGCTGCTCTTTTCTAAAAACACGTTTTTTTTAAACTTATCAAGCAGTGCAGTTTGAAAGAGTTAATTATGGTAGTTTTCCAGTTATGTCAGTAAGCAGTTATGAAATGCAGGTATGCACTCAGCGTAAACAAAGCACTTTTATTTGCATTTACTTAACAATTTTGTTTGTAAATTAGTATTAGTACATTAAAATTGTCAGGATTCCCCATCCCAAACAGCTCTTCCACAAAGATCACCATTGTTGACATATTTACTAAGACATAAACAACCACTTAATAACAGCTGGTTCCAGTGGTTTTATTTAGGGAAACATAAAACATCAATAAGATAAAAAATGGTTTGATTTGGCTACTTTTTGAAGTTTTTTGGACCATCTTTATGATATTGCAATGAATAGCTTTAATAAAAAGAAAATATTAATAAAAATAAATAATAGAAAAAAAACACTTAATTATTTTAAAAGTAGTTTGTGTAGTATTTTAAAATTATTATTATTATCATCAAGTCTTAATAC